GCTCAAAGTTTCTCTCCTATGTACAGTTAGAGTTTCTTATCTCTGTGAAATCTTTCATGCTGAATAAGTTGATAGTGCTGATGAAAATCATTCCCATATTCCTTACACTTGTATAGTCTCATTCTAGATTGAACTGTCCAATGTTGAATAAATCAATCACTACATTTAAAGGCCTTCCCACTTTTTTTTTTTTTTTTTTTTTTTTTTTTTTGAACTGGGGATTGAACTCAGGACATACATTTGCCAGGCAGGTGCTTATTCTACTGAGCTAACTCCCCAGAATATGATATTTAAAATGTCATAATTTATTGTAGCTGTTTGATATAAGAAGGATATGGGATTATTGTAAAAAGGGAACCAAAAGGTAAAATAATTCTTCATTTATGTGCTTTACTTCCAATAACTATGCAACCAGCGATGTTCATGTAGATGAGTGGTTCTCCGTGAGAGAAACTGTTTGTCCCCAGGGAGCCATATGAAGGTATGCCGGCTACTTTGGGTTGTGACCAACTGAAGCAGGAAGGTGCCTGGCAGCTAGCTAACAGATGAAGGCCAGGGATGCTGCTAAGTACCCCTCAATTCCCAGGACAGTTCACAAAATGAAGAATTCTTTCTCCAGATGTCAACAGTTCATTCTTGAAAATCCCCGGGGGGTAGCTCACACTTTTAAAGAAGGAATTGTTGCAAATTACTCTTCCACTTTAAAAGTAAGCAAAGGCTTCAAGCACTTAATTTTCTACCTTTTTCCAGTAGAGGGCAGTATTCTACATCCTGCCCAACCTCTTGCAATCATCCACACATTTATGTCCACACACACACACACGCACACACACACACACACACGCACACACATGCACACACACACACACACTCACTTTTATACATACAATCTAGTAAGAATACTTACATGATATAAATATAAATACAACACCTATATAGATTTTCTAAAATCTAGAGATTGTAGAGAAATTTTTGTTCCTGGTCCCCTAGGAATCGACACATGGTATGTTAATGCCCACCATAGTTGTTAACCTTGTAAGACAGAGAACAATGAACAATGTTTTTATGGTACAGTAAAGAAAGAACTGACCTATTTCTCTACCTTAACCATGCCCAGGACTTGAGCTTGCACACTAAGTTTATATTTTTATTTCTTCTCTGCACCACTTCAAGCAGCCTGTCTAAGGTAAGTAGTTTACAAAAAATCACACCGATGTTTTTCAAAGAGTTAGCCTGGCAGATATTTCTTGAGCACAAGATTGGCATTTGCTTTGCTAGACATCTTGGTCTTGCTTTGACCCGTGCTCTGGGTGACGCTGTCACAGCTATCTGCAGAGTGTGGTGTCCAGGTGCTGTCTAGAGACTGAGCAAGGGCTCTAAGCAAGGCTGGCTCCTGCCCATTTCCACAGTGGACTCCCAATTCAGCACTGCCCTGGGCCCCCGAACCGAGGCCACCGTCAGAGTCCAAAACTCTCAGTCTGCTTTGAACAAAGGAAACAGATCTGGAGAACATGCACCGAGGGCTCACCATTTGCCAGTCTTTTTCTGCCTGGTTTACTCCCTGGAACTCAAAAAAAGAAGCAAATCCTTCATTTAGCCACAGGTCATCCCACCAGTCCATGGTCACGATATTCCCAAACCACTGCAAGCAAAAGCAACAAAGAGATCGTTATGTCCTTATTCTTGTGGTACCGAGGGCTTGGGCATTTCAAAACATTTCTCCATGTGAATTGTGTTACTGTGTCACAGAAGTGGGAGGCATTGTACCTATTTCTTGTTTTATTTATTCTGATTTTTAAATGTCAGTAGATGCTTCTTGGTTATTGCCTTTGTTTAGGGTCTCCTGGGAATAGTAAACCTACCGAAAGCCTGCCTCTGGACTGAGGATGGCAAACAATGGATTTTAAAGTTTCTTTGTGATGCAGTGTTTATTAGCCTGAGGAATGATTTTCACATGGGTTTTCTGAGTTGGCTAATTTGACTTGTTAAATCATAAATAAATTTAGTCCTCTGGCCTTCAGCAAGTTTTGAAAGCAAGCAGTTCCATGTCACGGCGCTATACCTGGTGCACGAGCTCATGGGAAACCACCATGGCCACCCGCTGTTGGTTGGATGATGCCGATTCTTTGGGGTCATAGAGCAGATTCGTTTCCCTGTAAGTGATGAGTCCCCAGTTCTCCATGGCGCCAGTGCCAAAATCTGGAATAGCGATTTTATCTATGGAAAAAGAAAAAGTCCAGTCAAGAAAGACATTCTTTCCATTTGTTCATAATATTTTTTTTGACCAAATTAAGTTTCTTGAATGTTTTGGGTTTTTTTAAGGTCTAAAAACAATTTGTTAGCGTGAAGAGACATAATCATCTGTACAAACATATCAGGCCTAATGCACTCAAAATTTTCATGGAGCTTTTTCTGCTGGCTCTAGACTTCAGTGTGGCCTTCTCTCTCTTTTTTTTAAAGGACCCTTAAAATACTTTTTTTCAAGGTCTCTATTATTTTGTGTCTTTTGTTCCTTTTAGTACAGTACTTCATTGTTGGGAGCGTTTCTCTCCCAAGGCTTTCACTTAGGTAATGGGCAGCATCTGTTTTGAGGTAAGCTGTGGGGAGGAAGAATGAAGCGCTCAAATGAGGAATAAGGATCGCAGAGCCTCTAGGTGCCTAGAAATAGAAGTCTATCCAAGGACACAGAATCCCAGAGAACATGAAACCACTTTCCTCACTAGCTCTACAATTTGAGGTCAACTTGATTCTCCTCCAATCTAATAGCTCACCATTTTTAGGTTCATTAAGGAACCTGGAGAAAAATGGAACTGACTGTATTGGTTCACAGTTCTCTTCCAGGTCTAAAATGTTAGATTCTGGTAAGCGATTCTCTCCTTTGTGTTCTCTGGGGCCCATAATGTTAGACACAATATCTCATAGGAGCGCGCTGTGTGAAGCACTTCTACGTTCAATCTCGAAATAGAAAACGCTCAGTTGATTAGTAGAAAACACAGCTTCCCTCATTAATGAACTCTAATCAGAATGTAGTTTCTTTATTATTATGCATAATTTACATGAGGCCTGGAAATGAAAATAAATTGCACTTTTCATCTAACATAAAAAAGGTTCTTCCAGTTAAAATATTTTTCAAGATTTCATTAAAAAATAAAAATGATTGAAGACAATATGCAATGTTAATTATTGTAGCTGTCCTACTAACCTGCTTTGAAACTGTCTCATTGCTATTTCTTTCTCATTAAAATTAATAAAACATTTTTAAAGTACAGTAGTGGCTTCTTTTCATGCAGTCTTCATTTTTAGAGTTGGTTATTTTGTTTTAAGGATCTCCTTTAAAAGGCAGAGAAGGGGCCAGGGAGATGGCTCAGGAGAATAAGTGCTTGCCTGGCAAGCACAAGGGCCTGAGTGCAATCCCTGGTTCTGAAAAAAAAAAAAGTAGAGAAGCAGTGTGATGTGCACCCAGCCCTTAAACAAAAGGAATCTTTGTCATCTCATCCCTCTGATGAGCACTGGCATTATAATTAGCACCAGCTTATGGTAGAGCTAACTCTCAAAGTATTGAAGATGCACATAGCTGGGTAAGAAGAGGGAGTGGGGGAGATGTATAAGCAGAGGTGACGGAGAGAGAATCCAGGTTCCACTCCCCAGCTTATCCAAGGGGTTACAAGTGAGGTGAAGGGAAAAAGACCTTTGAATTCAGAAGCTTGATAGCTTATGATTTTTCTGATGCTGATAAAAAAAATCGCTGTTATTTCTGCCTTTCTGTCTTCTCTAATAGCTGTTAAGCAGAAAAAAACCCCCAAAAACTTGTCACTGCTTCCACTGAAGAAAACAGGGAGCGTCTACAAGCATGTTGAGAGCCACCGCTGTCCTCCAGGGGAGACCAGTAGCCCAGTTACTTTGCATTGATAACTGATTAAAGGAAGGGCAAAAATGGAACAGGGGAGCCAACTGTTGATTGGTTGATTTGCTCACTGCCTTCATTTTACCCCTACAAATATCTCTTGGAGGCTTACATTTAAAAATTCTGCTAATGTCCCTCAAGTTTATGAATGAAGTATTTCTGCTATTAATGAAAGAAGCATGCCTTCTTTCACAGGACAGAAAAAAATGCATTTATGAAAGAGGTGACTACTGAAGAATCTAGAAATGGTTTCACTCAACAGTGGGAAGACTGGGAGTACATGGGATTCTTACCGCATCGTTTGCCAGTTGTTTTCAATGTACCAGTGTTGGGAAGACAGCTAAGTGATCGGGATTGGTACTAATTTTTTAAATCCACTGACCTAAGAGCTGTTTCTGGCTCTAACATTAATAGGCTTGCAGATTTTTGCATGTATTCTCCCCTCTCTTTGGAAATGATGCCTAAACATTTATCAGAAAGGGAAAACATTCACATTATTTGTAAAGAAATTCAGAATGGATATTTCACTATGTAATAAGTTAGATACAAATTATGGGCATGTTCATTAACTAATGGTGTTAGAAGGGGTGAAATAAATTTACTAAGGTAAAGAGAAATACAATATTAAAAAATAAGAAAATAAAAATATATTCTTACCTAATTTAGGAAGAGAATACTCCATAGCAAAGTATTCCTCAAAGTAATCAAACACAATTTTGGTTATGTTTGCAGCGTATTCAGCTGTGTGCTTTTGCTCTGGCTGGACATAAATGGTGAGCTATTAAACAAAACACAAAATACTAACTGAGAATTACTATTCATTGCTAAAGCACGAAACACTATGATACATGATATGGTGTTAAGGGCTCTGGAGTGAGGGAAGCCTAACTGAAATCCAGGTTCTGCTTCATACTTGCCATGTGGTCGGGGACAAATCACATCTCTGAGACTCAAGTGAAACCTGCACTAAGTGCCATCATTCAATGAGTGACATCAGTGACTGGAAACAGTGTAAGCACTTCATTCAACACTTTAAAAGTTGTTATTACTCTTTCTATTTAAAACATACGTTGCCTTAGTATCTTTGAATCTCTTTCTTTTCATACCTCCACCAGCCCACTCATCTTTTGCTGGCTTTGTCTTTCTCTGCGTGTTGTCTTGGAGGAAATGAATTACTGGGATTTTTTTCATCTAAAGACTCCTAGAATGTATGTTTTCCCGTTATGCTATTCTGTCCCGTTTCTCCAAATTGCCTTGCTGATATATTTCAATTCTTTCTTTTAAAAAAAAAAATACAGTACTTTATTTTACACCATCAGCAAAAGTTACAGTCCTGTGTAAACAAGGCATACTTCACCAAAGAAATGACATTGAGGGTCTATAAACAAGATTTTCAATTCTTTCTAGTTCCTAAAATACAATGATCTGAAATTTTTCCTTGATGGCAATCACCTTGGCAAGCTACAAATCTCTAAGCTGCTAGAATATTATATTTTGTACCAAAGACATACAGATATTAAACCAAACAGACTTTCCATCCAACTCTAAGTATTTATAGCTTTACAGAAATCATCCTAACTCTTCTTAAACATAGTGTTCTGGAAGTAGATGTGGTCCCTCGGCTTCAGCGTTTGTGCCTGAGAACATCACGGGTGCTTCACATTTCTCAGTATACAAATGAGGAAGGAAATCCTTGTGACAACTAGGATTGCAGTTGTCCCTTCAGACAACTAGAGTCTGATAAGAGTTTGTGAGAAACTCAAATGAAAAGTACATACTAACCCCAAGCCCTGACACAAAACCGCTAAGGAAATCAGAAGATAAGGCATTAAGTAAATTCAAGACCATTGACCTAACCAGACCAGATGACTCAAGATTTTTTTTTTAAGGAAGAAGAAACGATGCCTATTCTGCTCCGTACCTCCCCCATTGCACGGCTAGTTGTGCTCTTCATTTAGGCACACAGCTTGAGTCATCTTTCTTAGAGGTAAAGAGCAGTGGAAAGATACTTAGAGGACAAGGTTTGGAAAAGGCTCCCTTGAAATTGCCATGCCTGGATCACGACTCTCCTAGCCAACGAGTAAATGATATTTTTGCCTTAGATGTGTTAATGTTCAGCTCAGAAGATGAACCAATTCGAAGACCACTGCAGTGTCCTTTGAGTGTTTCTTTCTTTGACTGTCTTTGCCAGAAGTGTTGTCACAGTCCATCTCACTCCCTGTCCTCCTATCCACTTGGTAAGCATTGACACATATTTTCCAAGCAGTTAAGTGAAACTAAGGAGCCAGTTGGTGACCTCTAACCAGTACAATGTCATATGCCATATGAAATCAAAATTAACATGCTCCCCCCGGCCTGCCATGCCATCAGGAGCGTCTCAGACACTTGTAAAACACTCCGAGATTCATGGCTGTACTTGTTTTCCACCATTCAACCTTGAAGAAGGGCAGTTCCTCGTGTTTCAATCCGCTGTTGTCTACACCCCCGGCGATTGTGTGCTGCACATGTTTAGGGAGTGAAAAAAATTGAGAAAGCAAAAACCCTAACAGGTCTTCCATGGAGGGGAAGCAGAGCAGGGGCCTGCTCTTTTGGGCAAGAGTTGCCCGTTTCCATGCTGGTAGAAGGACCCCTTTCAGCAGCAGGCATACAAGAAATATTCACCTTTTTTTGTACTCCATATTGGTGGAAGCATCAGAAACCTAGAGGCTTTACATGAGATGGATGTCAATACCAGTTCAATTAAAATAAAAGCCACTCTTACCCTTCTGCTTCTGAGCAGGCCACCCTCATAGAAGGGTGCAGCCTTTGCAGCCTAACGAGGTGAAGATCACCTGTGATCTATGACCTTTCCAAGAAAGGGCCACTGGGCGTGCTTCATCACTCAGTGGACCATAGCTTTGATCAACAGAGCTGAGGAATCACACAAGATATGGATATAGCCCATTAATTTTGTAATGTAATCAGCCAGAGCTAACTTAAGAGACTGTCCTATCTGCTGTATGCCAAGGACATATCTCTACACAGAAGGCTCCACAAACCTGCCAACATGGTCTGCCCTTTGAACCTCCCAAGTGCTGTCTGTGGCATGCATTTAACTGCAGAACTGTTTGGATTGGAGGGTTTAGAAAAGCAACCCTCACTGCAGACACCTTCGTGCTGCCTCTGCTGGACTGTTCCTGTTCTGTGAGCTCATCCTCAATACGCAGCGTATGGTGCATCTGCAGCTAGGTTTAGTGGTGCCTATTCATAACCTAAGGTACTTAGGAGGCTGAGGCAGGACAGCTGCAAGTTCAAGGCCAGCCTGGGAAATTTAGTGAGACTCTATTTCAAAATAAATAATGGGCCGGGGAGATGGCTCAGTGGAATAAGCACTTCCCTGGCAAGCACAAGGGCCTGAGTTCAATCCCCGGTTCCACAAAAAATAAAATAAAATAAATACTGAAAAGCACTGGGGATGTAGATCAGTGGTAGGACGCTTGCCTAGCATGCATGAAGCCCTGGGTTCTATCCCCAGTACAACAACTGAATGTTCTGTCCACATGCCCTGACCATTCTCTGGGATGTCACCTAGGTGGTTAACTCCCCTTTCTCATCCGCTCCACATTTTTGACCAAGACAGTGTTCAGAAATTAATGCTTGAATTGGCATCACTTTTAATAATAATTTCCTTCTTTCTATTTTACATGCTGGCTCTATGAGACATATTTAAAGTACATGACTAGCTGTATCGTATAAGGTGGAGTGAAACGGATGTGACGTGTATTTCTCTCCTCTTCATTGCATTCTAAAAGAGTCCCTATACAATGCCATCATCATTCAAGGACCCAATTGAAGATTAAGTAGAGGGTTCATGACCTTTGAATATCAATATGAATATGAAGTATGTAAGGCTTCAAGAACCTAATTTTTCTGCCTGTATTTACTTTCTAAGAGGGCAAAGGAGAATTCTGTGGATGTACCAGCAAGGCAGAGAAACACCGACTCTATTGTGCTGCCTGTGATAAAAGTCTGGGATGGCTCTATATTCAGTTGGTTCTTCTCTGGGGAGGCAGGGATAACCTGCTTTGTCATTACTACTGTTGCTTTTCCTTCATCATATTGGAGTGTACTGTAACATCAATCTTTAGAGTTCCTAATATTACCCCTTTATGCAAATGTCTCCAGCAATTGGAGAAATGGGACGCAAGTTCATGAGCCTTGATTCCTGCTTGGTTGCTGCTTCTCCTTCTACGTGTGCCTTTGTTACCCCTGACAATCATGATTCAATCCACTAGTGGAGACTTTTATTTCTGCAATACTTGAACATGGCTAGGCAAGCACTCTACAATGTGCTGAGACCTCATGTCCTAGAAGAACCTTCCTTAGAACGACCTGGTGAGGCCTGTACCATCTTCATGTCCAATGCTTATTTATGTCTCTGCAAACAGAACCAAGTACAAAGTTCAGCAGTGCAACTCTTAGGAATTTTTATGAGTCTTTAGACTTCTTTAAACTTGTCAGAGAATATGATAAGCACTCCTCTTGTCCCTCCCTTTCACACTGTACATCGATTCTATGAATGAAAATAGAATGCAATATTTTATATTACTAAAGATTTCTTTTTTCCAATCTTTTTACTAGTCTAGCTCCCATTACCCCATCCACAGTTATAAAATCCAAAGAGCTCTAAACCTTAAAAGCTTTCTATGTGTTTAAGCAAACTAACTTGGCAGTATCATCTGACCTGAACTGATGTTTTTGTATCATTATTTTTCCCACTTAAAACTCTTGCTGCAGAACGTCAGTGTTGAATCACAAAGTTCTGCCCCAGATCCTGCAGCAGGGACTCAATGACACACAGTATTTAAACACAGGACCTTTTACAAATCTAAAAAGAAAATGTATAGATCCCAGCATATAATTGGTCACAAAGAGCTTAGAGAAGATTTTAAACCCTTATCTGAAATTTTAGAGCTTAAAGGAGATATCAAAATAAACTTCCTCATCAAATACAGAATGAAAATAAAGTCCAAGGCACAAGTGACACTAGAATGCAGAAGTCTCCTTCTTACCTTATCATTCTACCTCTTCACTGGTAAGACTGAATTCTAAATTCCTAGCCGCAAGTTAGAGATAACAACAGTACTTGTATCACAGAGATACCACTGAGGTTAAATAAGGTATGGCCCACACAGCACTTCACACACACTGGTTCTGGGTCTCATCAGCAGCATTGGTTTTATAGAAGATAATAAACTGAATTATTAACCTCTGGATTTTCCCGGGGTGCATCTCCCTACGTGTGAGTGATGTCACATGGTGATGGCGCAGTAGCCATGATGAACCCTAGAGGAATGTAATGAGGATGTAAATTGACGTTTTTGATGCCTACAAAATAAACTTGAAAGTCCAAACCTTTTGACTTGCAAGAGCCTCATTCTGAAAGGCTTTCAGCATTAAAAACAGGCAGGAATACAACAAGTCACAAGTCACAGAGTTTCTGCTGCAGTGTGGGAGTGAAGCGAAGATGGGGAGACATCAGAACTATGTAGGAAGAGGTGCTGAAAGACTCCCCTGGGTCAGAGAAGGGAAGGAGGAAATGGATGGGGCAGGACCCAAAGAGTGTGTTGGGTCTGAAAGGAAGGCACTGTGCAGACAGGCCACAGGGCTGGAAAGGAGCCGGCCTTAACGGACTGCCACCACCACCCGGGCCGGATGCAGCTCAGGCCTGTGGGGCTCCCTGGGAGCTGCAGCTCAGCTGTCTCCTGGGTCCCCATCTTCCTGGTTCCTGTCCGTTAA